TTACAGGCATGAGCCACTGCACCCAGCCAGCATTGTATCTTAAAGGTAACCTTTTAGTTGTGTGGATGACAGTTGTCTCCACTGGACATCTCTCCATGCCAGGTCCTCTGCTGGGTGTTGGTGTTCACTCTTCCCTCCAACCACCATATTCCCTTGAGGCCAGGAATGGACCTCAGTGTGCCTCAAGCATGGGAAGACCCAACACTGGCCTCTCTGGAGCTCGCTGTCTTCTGGAGTTCTGAGTTAAGGAGGTAGTTGAAGAGACCTGTGTATGACCCCCAGATGCCAGTAAAACCTATCATGTACAGAGAAAGTGGTCATGTCATAATAAGATTTTGAAAGCAAGATTCATCAAAAAATAGGCCAAATTTGCGGTCCCACATGAACCTGCATTGAACCCTCATTGACTATCCAGGTATGTATTACTTTAAAAAAATAAAAACTAACGTAACTCTTAAAACATATTAGCAAATTACCCTGACATATTGAAAACAGGATATTATTCTAAAATTTCTCTTTTATGTATATTACCTTTTAGAAATTCTACAAATGTGCTTTGTGTAAAAGGATATAGTCTACAATCGTTTTCTGACTCTTCCTCTAATAAAAATTAAATGGCCTAATTATTTAAAGCCTGGTCGTTTGAAATTATTTTTTGAGAAACATTTTAAAGCATGATACTATTTTTGCTTTTCATGTAATGTACAAGTATTCTCAGAAGCTGCTTGTATATGTTTGTGTTCCACATATAAAAATATTGTAAACAGGGTCCATGTATTTCTCCAGTGAGAGTTTCTGATCTTTTGACTGTAATTACCAAGTGCTTGAGGTTGGGGCGACTGGAAGTGAATATCAAGCTTTTCTGTGCCTGGAACCAACTTTGTCCAAATAAAATAGCTTTGTACTATGAAGGAGTTTTAGTAAGTAAATTTTGTTTTAAAAAATCCATGTGAGTTAAAGGAAAGGAAATGAAGAAGATCATATAAATATGATGATCTAAATCAATGTTCTGCAACTTTTCTACCCAGTCACCAGTGAGAGTGAGTCAGTAGAAATGAGGGGGGAAGGGAGTGAGGGGAGACCCCCATTTTGACTCAGCAGTGGTGAGGGCTGGTGTGTCTGCAGACCTGGAGCCAAGCTCAAGGGGACTTGAGCACCAGGAGCCCCCACATTTCCTGAATGACCGGTGGAGGGCGGGTGCCAGCCTGTGGCAAAATAGGAAAGAAAAGGACAGGATGGGGACTTCACCAATTTTTTTTCAACCTTAAATTGTTCCTTAAACCTTCATGTCCTTTACGGTATGTTCTTATTTAGTAAAATAAAAAAGTTTGTAATCCTGAGTTCTCTAAAGATATAAAATTTTTTTATTGGTTTGTGAAGTCAGAAGGATGAGAGCTGCTGTTTGTTGGAACTGTGCAATAAATATTAGCATATTCAGGTTTCAATTCTGCCTACAGGACCTGTTTGCTTTTCTTTATCTCATAACCCATAACTCACAGGACACTAACCAGGGTGTCCGAGAACAGTGTGGGAAAGTTTAGATAATTACTTCAGCATTGCTGTGTGATGGGAGACGTTGGTTTAAAAACCGAGTGTGGTAGAGGTTAAAAGTACAGCCGTTACCATCCTGTTTCAACCAATGCTTGACCAAGAACTCTTTCTGGAAATCTCTTGAACAGATTTCCAAAAGTTACATGTGAAAAAGCACTGAAACCTCAGATAATGCAAAGATCCACTACAATACGGCGTTGAGGAAATCATTTACACTACCTTGCTGATCACTTTTCACGCTTGATCTTAGCCGAAAGGCCAAAAAGTGATGTGGATAACTTTTCAACCTGTAAAATAGCCACCAACCTGCAAAAAAACTAATTGAACACTAATAAATGACCAAAATTGATGCAGTGGTTATAACTTGTGCTATTTTTATTTCTGATCATCCACAATATCAAGTTTAAGACTGACTGCCTATGTCATAGTTTTGTGTGACTAGACTACTTTTATTAATTGGCTTTAAAGAACTGGACAAAAGGACCCTGAAGGAAGAGAAACCAAGGATGAATCCATGAGGTATTCGGGCTGTGTGGCGATTGCCTTCATCTTGCCAGTAGAAGGGCATTTTCCAGAAAAATTTAGGCTGAATACCCATTTTTATACCTCGCCCGATTGAGTGCCAGCCACTGTGCCAAGTGCTGTATATGTACTGTGTGAAGGAGAAAATTTCCAAGAAAGATACTGAGATTTCTTCCTTGGCCTGTTTAAAATTGGGATTGATACCCTTCCTCAATGGATGCCGGCAGGCAGGAAGTTCAGAGGAAGTCAGTGATCTCCAGTCAGATTCACAATTCTCCAGAGTGTGTCCTTTTATCTCCCAGGATCTTGCAAAACTCGTGCTGAATTGCTCATTAGGGAAAGCTTGCCATACGCTACATTAAGTGTTTCCCTTAGAGACTTTTTCTAAGGAGGCCCAACATTGAATTATTAAACCCTGGGCTATGATTAGTGAGGCAGACACCTGCTTTCTGTATTCTCTGGGACTTGAAAGCAAGAATGAAATTACTGAATAAAATGAAATTGGTACGAGGGATATTGTGGACTTCATTTGCAGTATTACTCTGCATCTCCTCCCGTGGGTACGACAGCTGTCAGCAATGGCTTTTAAATTCCACAACACTGGAAGGCATTACTTTGCCATTAAAATTTTGAATTGAATTTATTTTGAACATTCCGAATTTTGCAGCAGAGAAAAGATGCTAAATCAATACTGAGTGAAATGATTTTGCCGAAAATATGACATGACTAAAAATTGTGTAGATTTGCAGTTTTGTAGTTGGAAGAGGAAGCGCAAGTTTTTGACTGGGTCCCTTGATGACACAGAAGCAGAGAGTTTATCTCAGTCTCCCTCCAAAGCAAGCTTCATTTTTAGTCAATATCTCAGAAGTTCTCCCTTAGGAATTAGGATTTTCTTTATCTCCTGAATGGTTGTCAGTGACCTTTTATGGCTCTATTTTGACCTTAGAAACCCACATCACAGAATTGATTAGCATGCCATTTTAAAAGCCCCATTTGTGGAATCTAGAAAATATTGGGATCATTGTCAGGTAGTTTTCCCACTTTCAGAAATAAGGAATTACCTTTCCAAATGTGAGCGACTATGTGACTCTGGGACAGCTCGGACTGTCTCCCTTGTCTCTTGTGGGGCCTGATTCAGCCGGTCTCTGGCTGGGTGGCTTCATTGAACTCCTGAATGGTTGGATTTCTTGATGATTTTAGGAAGTTT